TGATGATAATAAAAGCCGTGCTAAAAGAAGTAAAGGAATTTGATCACAACTTGGCACATTAGGAAGTTCTCTTATGTATTATTCCCAACAGATTCCTGATAATTCCCAGGCAGGAGTGCAAGGCATCCGCAGACATAATAAGCATGCATTACATAATAAGCATGAATTTATGACAATGATTATGATGATAATAAAAGCCGTGCTAAAAGAAGTAAAGGAATTTGATCACAACTTGGCACATTAGGAAGTTCTCTTATGTATTATTCCCAACAGATTCCTGATAATTCCCAGGCAGGAGTGCAAGGCATCCGCAGACATAATAAGCATGCATTACATAATAAGCATGAATTTATGACAATGATTATGATGATAATAAAAGCCGTGCTAAAAGAAGTAAAGGAATTTGATCACAACTTGGCACATTAGGAAGTTCTCTTATGTATTATTCCCAACAGATTCCTGATAATTCCCAGGCAGGAGTGCAAGGCATCCACAGACATAATAAGCATGCATTACATCCAAAGGTTTATAGCATTTCACATATTGTAAGAAATAATATTATGTTCAACTTCATTTGTACAAGAAAATTGCATTTTTGTTTTTTTTTTTAGTTTTTTTTTTTGTTTTTTTGTTTTTAGAGATCTCTACACATGTCTAAATATATTCAGAAATTTATCATTATTTTCTGTAAACATAAATGTAATCATCATATGGATAACATAGGCATCACAAACCCACACCAGGGCATTGATTTACTCAGAATTAAGCCTTATACCAGTTGGCACATGAGCTTCCTCAATCCATCTTTCTCTTTCCAATTTATCATGCTATCTGCACCCATTTTCATCAACTATGAAACTAAGCATCATGATGGTAATACCGGTATCTAAAAAGTTATTGTCCTAGCGCATGGACGAACTATACTTGAGCAGTAATTGCAAGATAATCCAAATGAAGAATCTCCAAGACAAATTGTCTCATCTAACACTAAAGAGGATTCTTACAATTAGCTGAAATCAAAGAGATAGGGAGAAAAAGAATTTGTTTCCATTTCCTTCGTGAAGACCACACAACAGCGGTAGGAGAAGCACACAAGTATTAACAACAAATGCTATATATAATTTACAACTTCTAGGGTATCCAACTATTTTAACAGTGCACACTAAGTCATCTATAACTTATATTTCCTTTTCACTAGAAGAATTCATTAAGAAAAATAGTGATAAGATGGTAAAGTAGATTTTACCCAAGTAATCGTATATTTCTCCCTCCTAGGATAAATCATCATACCTTCTCAACTTCTGATCTGTAAGATAATTTTTCAGACAGTGATGATATCAGTTATCGAATCATCATACCTTCTGATCCGTAAGGCAATTTTTCAGACAGTGATGATATCAGTTTCTTGTCCATACCATCAATAATCCACACACTGCACCTTAAAAGTTCAAACTTGTATTCAACTCTATCCTTGCTATACTTTCACAGAGAAGATCTCCTTCAAAGCAGACCAAGTTCCTGAAACTCCAAGAATAACACCTAGCGCCACAATTGCAGTATCCAAAGTCCACTGTCTCCACCCAATCTCTTCTTTGAACACCAGCAAGTGAAACAAAGCAGGCAAAACAAATCCCAAACCACAACATACACTGCTTCCAATCAAGGACAAGAAGTCAGCAAAATTTGGTACTAACAGAGCCACCGAAGTGACAGCCAACACCAGTAACCATCTCATCCACCAGCAATATATCCCATCCCAAAACCGCCTCTCAATAATTTCATAGACAGGGTGCATCATCAGTGGAAATGTGAAGAAAAGGTTTATAGCAAGGCCCAGTTGAACCAAAGCGCTCATTAGTCCTGTACCCAAATTAGCAGTGATAATATCCATGGTATTTTCACCAAAAGCAAAGTAACCCATGACGCCAAATCCCCCATAGATAAGAGAAATGAAAGCCATACTCAATCCCAGAACCCTTCCAAACTTGTCCTTATCTTTCATCTCGGATTCTAGAGGCAAAACCATTCCAATCCCTTCAAAAGCATAAACAGCCACCCCCATCCCATAAAAGAACACAGAGAAACCCCCAAAAGTAATCACATCAGGTCTTTGCTTCCACGAAATAAACACATCCTCCACCATCACCATTGCCATGGCGGCAAGGTCAACAACATCAGCGAATACACTTAAAGGCGCCAAATGGGTCAGAGTCTTAATCGAATTCAAACCCAATTGAAATGGAAAACAACCCCATATAAACCAACTCTTGGAAGATAAACCTAAAAGTTCCGCCCCCAAACTAGAAACTTGGTAACTCAAGCCGTTAGGCGACTTTGGATTGAAAAGATTAGCCAAAGTATTACCAATAAAAATAAGATATCCCACGCAAAATCCAGCCTGAGACAATATCATAAGA